TGCAAAAGCCCTAATTCATGTGACACCTTTTTAATTGGCAAGTGAGTTGTATATTTGCTGGCTCAGTGACTTTTTTTTTTTTTGCTAAAGCAGAAGTCTAGTGCGGCCCCCAAACTCCACAGTGGCGTGTTATGCAAATGGCGACGGCGTATCTGTCACTGTTATAATGAAACAAAGCTTGTTAACTCTGCTAGAACAGCTTGGTTCCATAGGAGGGGAAGAAAGAGTTATTAAATTCACTACCTCCTATTTGCACTATTGATCAGAAATTTTGACAAGTACCTCCAACAAGGATGAAGATAATAAGAGTAATTCTTCTGGAACGTTCTCCCCAGATGCTGCTCTGACCTTTTGTGGTGATTTGTTGTTTGAAGTCATGGCTGCAGTTCAATGTGGTGACCAAAACTGGATGCAGAACTCTAGGTGTGATCTTACTGAGGCTTTATAGAGTGGCATTACTACCTCCCTTGATCTTGATTGTATCCCTCTATTAATGGCATCACAACTGTACCATGCTGGGTGGTTGGTTTAGAGATTGTCAATCTCATCGCTGCATGAATGACTGAAATGCAATATAAGTTTATATATAATTTTCTTTAAGAGTTGACAGATAACAGATTAACAGCATTAGAAGGGACCTTATAAGTTGTCTACTCCAACCCCCCCTCAAGCAGGAGACCCTACACAAATACTAGTCCAATCTCTTCTTGAAAGTCTCCAGTGATAAAGCTCCCACAACTTCTGAAGGCAACTTCTGTTCCATGGGTTGATTTTTCTCACTGTCAGAAAGTTCCTCCTTATCTCAATGTTGAATTTCTCCTTGATCAATTTCCATCCATTATTTCTTGTCTGGCCTTCAGGTGCCTTGGGAAATAGCTTGAACCCCTCCTCTCTATGGCAGTCCCTCAAATATTGGAAGACTGCTATCATGTCTCCCCTGGTCCTTCTCTTCCCTAGACTAGCCATGCCCAGATCCTGCAACCATTCTTCATGTTTTAGTTTCCAGTAATCATCCTGTTTACTCTTCTCTGCACTTTTTCTAGAGTCTCAACGTCTTTTTTATAGTGTGATGACCAAAACTGGATGCAGTACTCTAGGTGTGGTCTTAGTAGTGGTAAGACCACACCTAGCCTACTGTGTGGTATTAATACCACACTTGATCTTGATTATATCCCTCTGTTAATGCAATTTAGAATTGCATTGGCTATTTTGGCTGCTGCCGCACACTGCTGGCTCCTATTTAGCTGGTTGTCCACTAAGACTCCAAGATCCCTCTCCCAGTCACTGCTATTAAGCCTGGTTTCACCCAGTCTATATGTTTACTTTTGGTTTTTCTTGCCTAAGTATAAAACTTTACATTTGTCTACATTGAATTTCATTTTGTTAGATAGGGCCCAGGGTTCAAGTCTGTCAAGATGCGTCTGGATCTTGAGCCTACGTGACTCCTCTCATGCAGAGATGAGCCAGAGATGAGGGAGGAGGCAGAAAAGAGAATTGCAATTGGAGGCTCTTTTTGGAAGAATCCAAAATGGCCATAAGGGGGAAAAAGGGGGCGGGGATACATTTCTTACAGAATGAAGTGGTACCTCAACACATCCTAAATTGGTTCCAGGGAGCACAATGAGTACCACAAACAATGAGTGCCAAATACATTTTTTCCCATAAGGA